AGAGACGGAATAAAAAAAGTTTCCATAATAGAACATAACTATGACAGAGCACCTATAACATAAGCAGGGTTACATTTATATTCTAACAGGCAAATAAAGAAGACTAGATATCTAAAGGCAGGCCCTAACAGTATCATGTCAGCCTGCAGCACCTATAGCCATGGGAAAAGTCACACATGACAGGTGACTTAAAAAGCTTGAATAATTGTGTATGCTACACCAGCACTGAAAACTGTGCCAGATGGGGGAAGGGTGACCACCTTATGCTTTGGGGTATAAGCTGAGCCCTGGTAGCCAGAAGAACTGGCATACTGCACTATACACTTGTACAGGCTTCACCTTCCTCAGAAACTGCAGGCTGTGCCTGCTGTTGCTGGATCCTGGGACAGATCCAGGAGTATAATGGTTACCTTTTTTTACAGCTTGGCAAACCTCAGCTCCCTCATTAACAGAAAGGATTTTAGAAGCATTATAACGTGCTGGGATGCTTTGGGATTCCAGCACAAAGAAGCTGCTGAAAACATTCCCTCCTTCTCTCTTGCCTTTCAGAGTCAGTTGTCTTTCTGCAGGTGCCTTGTTGTAACCATGGCATCCTATGGCTGCTTTGTTTCACGACTCTGTAGCGTTTCTGAGTCCTCTCCAGATGGCACACTTCATCTTGACCTTTCCAGCAGGGTTGTCAAACCCTGGGAAGGTAAGCTCTGGGGAAGTGGTACTGATGTGAGGGGAGTAACAGGGCATTTCAGCTCTGGGAAGGAGAAGATAATGATGTAAAACAGTGACAGAAAAGAATTGAACATTGCATGTCGCCCAGGTGCATCTCTTGGCTGTGAACTCGCCTTCTCTCTTGCACATGCTGAAGTGAGATGGCCCTGTTGTGATCTCCTAACTTCTTTTCACACTAACATGGTGCAACAAGCTCTTGTTTCCTGGTGGAGAGAACTGTCCCTGGTTTCTCTGGTGCTAAGATTTCCACTGAACCAGATGCAGGACTAGACCAAAACATTACTCTGTGATTAAGTTGCTTTTCCTATTGGCTCCTGTCCCACAACTTGCCTCATGCTGCCCTTGGGAAGCTGTTTAACATGGAGACTGGAGTTTCGGACAAGAGGAAAATCTACTGTCATTCAGGGGCTCTTTTTGCACTTACAGATAAGTGTGAGTCTAATTCTGAAAGTGCATAGTGATGACATCCTTATTTGCACCGGCTGAATTAAAGTTGTACAGGTGCAAGTTGCAGTGGGGTAAAGGGAAGCCAGGTTTTCAAACCCCTCCCTTTATCCATTCTCTGTTGGCATGAAATGGGGAAGCATCAACCAAAGCCCCGCAGAGGACACTGCCTGAGCTGGGGCCCTTAGTGTAACATAGAATAAGGTCTAATGGTGGCTGAAAACAGGGCAGCTGATCTGGACTAAAGCAAGGGGTATAGCCTGTTCTCATTCTTGCATACAGGGCACAGAGTGGAGGTGTCAACCTGTTGCCTTCCTCATTTGAGAATACTTTGGTATTAAAGGGGCAGAGGGCCCATTTGGAGGGCATTAACAGTTGCCAGTCGGGTACAGGTAATATCTCTTTTGGCTTGCCTTCCTGTTTTGCTCCTTCAGAACTTGACCCTGATGTGGCAGTCAGGAATTGCTGTGCTGACTGAAAAATGCTTTATTTAGGCCTTCACTTGTCAGCTGGTAGGAGGCTGCCAAGCCAAACTCCTACAGATCCATAGCCAGAACCAGAGCCCAAAATACACTTGATAACTCTGCTGGAGATCAGGGTGAATGTAAAAAATGGAAGCGGGAGAGGCTACAGTCAGCTAATAGCATTTGGGGCTCAACTGTAGTTTAAAAAAACGCCAAAACTTAAGTTTAACCTTTGGCATACAAAACAATCTGGTGACTTCTTCCAGAATGGAGGCCAGACCTAATCCCTTCTCCCTGGCACAAATGCTGCTGTTTTGCTGGTCTCTCAGAGAGCTTTGTTCCATTTTTTACTTTTGGGTTTACCCCCTTCCTGATGTGGGGCAATAACAGGGATGTGTGGCTAGGGCATATGTCCTTTATGGCACAAGGCCCAGTACTGGCTTTAGGTAGAGGCTGGCTAATTGGGTGGAGGATGCAGCGGTGGCTGCAGGAGCATGAGGTGCTTTCTGGTGGTTGACACAGGAGAGCTAGAAAAAGCAGGTGCCTCACTGTGCCACCGAGAGAGGGAGCGTAAAGAGAGGCTTGGAAGTGGGGAAGACAGAAATAATATTGTCAATACTACCCCTGTCCTAGCTGCCAAGTCTTGGGCAGCACCTGGTGACATTTTACGCCTGCTAATTCATGAACTAATTGGCATCCATATACATTTGCATATACTGTAACAGACTTCAGCTCACATCCAACATACCCTGCCTTCAGTCAAAGCAGGGGAAGGGCGTGGAGTTGTATACAGCTTGGCAGTAGTGACTGGTGGGCTTCCCAGACAGCCTGGTACAGTTGGCCAAGAGGAAATGAAAGAGCCTAGCACCATTACAGAACTCCTTTTGCCTCATATTCCTTCTTTCCATGTTCCTGCTCTGGAAGACACTAAGGCAGTGGTTTTCAACCTGTGGGCTGCAGATGCCTGGGGGTCTGCAGACTGTGTCTAAGGGGTCCATGAAAGATTACTATGATCAATCAAAAGTATGTGAATACCCACACTTACAATCCAAAGGGGTCCACACCTCTGTTTGAAATTTCCAAAGGGGTCTGCAAATGAAAAAAGGTTCAAAACCACTGGGCTAAGGCTTTCTAGGCAGGCACCCCAGCAGCTTCTGCCTATCAAGATAGGCACTGCAGCCCATGGCCAGAGCTAGCCAGGAGCATGAGGTTGAGGGAGAGTGTCAGGTTGTTCTACTTGTCACTGTGACTCCAAGGACCAGGGTTTTTTTATCTACATACATGTCCATTTTCAATCCATATCTTTTTCTACCTCTGTGTTCTCCTCAAATGAAATTTCCTCTCCTTCATAACTATTTCCCATCTCTCATTGGTCTGTTACAGATTATGTTGATTTGAACTCTGACCCATCCCTTATCTCACTAGTCGAAATAAGAAACACTCTTAGCAAAGTACCATAATGAGAATAAATTTTCATAATTGTACTGAATTTGTCCATTCCATGTGCACCATCCAGGTCAGGTCTTCAGCTGGCAGTTATTGACAATAGAGTTCAGACTACAATTCTCAACATGTATCTTGCAAGTACTCTTGTATTGCTGACACTGTACCCATTAGTTTTTCTTTATCAAACAGAATACAGCTTAAGCCCTCCCATATAGCATGTTCTTTTGATTGTAACAATTGAGCTTCTTTGGGTAAAACTTTCTTTTGTTCATCTCTAGTAGCTGAAATCAAATTAAGCAAAACTGAGAAGGAAAAAACCCACAGTTGTAATTAAGAGCAGATTCACACACATCACATTGTAAACCAACAGATACTTCTGCGTAGGTGAATGGATTTTTGCATTGTCGCACTTGCAGCTTTAGTTTTCCGTCTTTCAGAGCTGGTGCAAGTATGAATTGTAAATAATATTTATAAAATAGGTCATGGTAATAAACTGAGAGCAAATGTTCACAGCAGTTCTGTGTCCAGTATTCCTAGCAATCTGTTTTAACACATTATATTTCATGGAAAGTATAGCAAACAACAGTATGTCAAAAACATCTCTAGCCATGGAGAAGTTTGAGTACAGTGGAATGTTATGAGCTGTCTTAATATAACCAGTTCTAAAAAGATTCTGTTAACAACCTTAGGGGAAATGAAGGCATGAATACAACAGAGGAAATGGGTAATGAGATTTTTTTCATGGGCTGAACAACTGGCATGAATAATAATTTGATAGTTGCTTACATATATAGAAAAGAACATCTTGTGCCTCTGCGGCTAGCACCTCTTTCAACACTAGAGAAATCTGGCATGTTAAGCATCCATCTAGATTCTCTGGCATTCATGTAACATGTGCCCCATAAAATTGTTGGCAGAAATGAACAAGGATAGCACCATCATTTGGACTGCAGATGTAAATGGCTGGTGTAATTAGATACTATTCCAGTCCCACTCCATTCTTCAGCTCTGCATAGTCTGCATCAAAGCTGTACCTTTCCTTATTAAATATCTCACTCTTGCTGTAACAATTCTATGCAGAACAACTGGCAGACAATATAGCACCACATTGTTACTATTGCACTATTACTCCAAATCAGGAGGCATCTTCACTTGGACTTAAGCCATCCAAATGCAACAGTCCACCATTTTGTACCTGCTGATTCTTTAAACTGAGGTGTAAACAGACTTTGCATATCTCCTGGAAGAATGCTTTTTCTTCCTCCCTCTCTTCTACTGATTTTCATACCCATTGTCCCACATCAAGTACCTATGAAATATATGAGGTCAAAATGTGCTAACAGTATTTTTTCCCCCTGGGACAATCCTTCCTAAGTCTGTAAATTTATTGTGGCTCATTCAAGTTAATTGCTGGTCATTCCAAGAACAAGGTTGTATGCTCTCCCCTACTGGCAGGGAAGCAACAGTGCAGCTTAGAAGGGCTACCTGTCTAAATGGCTGTGCCTCAAATAAGATGTCTATTTACAGCCTCTTCAGCCGTTTGTTAGAAAAAGATCTGCAGGACCCTTGGCTAGTTAGACTCCAGCCAAGACTCTTGGCTAGTTAGACATTCTTAGTTTTCAACATTTTGCACGTGCATCTTACCTGCCACAATCTCCAAGCCTTCAGAATGAGCCTTCTTTCAGACAAACATCTCAAAGTATATTAGAAAGGGAGGCATTGACCTTCCATTTTAAAGACACAGTAAAGCACAAACGCAAGATGATTTGCTTATGGTCATATAATCAAGCAGTGGCAGAGTCAAGAACTGCACTTGCAACAAGGAGACTGAGAGTCTAACCAGCGTGGTTGGTATGCAGAAGTTGTTCTCCTGCCTTTTTATAGTCACTAAGACTTCTTTGTTTTCTTTTACTTTCCTAGATTCAACTTTTCCAGACATTTTTGTAGGGCACCGCTGTTACCCAAGAGAAACACTACAGGTTGCTGCAAATCTTTTTTGTACCTGATGACTCTGGTTGTACTTTAGGGTGAACAGGTAAGTTTGTGTTACAGACTTTAATCTTGAACAAGCATCTGGGTTTTAAACAGCCACTGTATTTCACAATATCATATATATTGTAGCTTGAAACTTTAAGTATTTCTGACAGCTGGATCTCCATGGAGATTAGCACACTAAGAATGTGGCTATTTTAAGGACTTAGAAAACAAGGAAAATTGGCAGGTTAAGGTGAGGCAATAATATCTCTGGAAAATCAGTAATTTCCTCAACAATTTGCTCTCTTTTCTCACAATATGTATAAAAATCAATGGAAAAAATCATTAGAATAACAGGAGAATGTGAGAAAAGCAGCATGTTTGGACCCCAGATGGATGGATCTTATGTTAGTCAACACTAACCACCCTAGGAAATGGGCAGCTTTCGCAGACTTCTAAATGGAGCCATGTCCCATGCAGAAGGATGGCAGTGGGGGACATATCTTCAGGGTCCAAGGCAAAATGGGGAAAGGAGCCCTGAAAAAGAATCACCACAGTACACACGTATGTGATACATTCATACCTATTCAATTTGAACCCTTGGAAAGATTTCCAGTTAGTGCATCCAGGCTGTGCCTTGGAGAGCTCTTATCCTCTCATAAAGAAAGGTACTATGGAACATCCAGAGGAGAGGTTTCTTTTTGTGCCAGGAACTTCTCCTCACTGGTCATCTGTCCCTGCTATTTATCTAAGCCTAACACTGCCTCTCCTACAGATCCCTTAAAATCTATTTCCTCTGGTTTTAACATTCTCTCGCCCACACAAAGCTACACAGCAGCTGCCATCCTTCCAGCCAAGGAGGAGGAGGGTGGTAGGACTCCCTTCAGAGTCTCAGTGATGTTTCTTATCTAATTCCAAGAGTCACTGAATCCTGAAGGGGATTTTCATCCTTGTTCAGGATCTTCCCTCTCCTTTTGGCAATATGCTTCCTTGGAAGAATGACCTTCCAGTCCAGATCAGGTTGTAGGTTAGTCCTATCTACTTCTACCTATAGAAGCAGCATGGGCATATTTTTTTCATCAATACAAAACCCTGTCTTTACCAGAATCCAGATCACTTCTTATCATACCCAGTGCTACTGGGCCAATACAGACTGGTGCAAGACTCCTGTTTCCAACAGTGAAGAGTGTGACCTGTTAGGATGGTATGTGTAGGTGTGGAGCACAGTAGAGGGTTATCTTCATGTGTTCCCATGGACTAGACCTGCCTTCTCCATTAATGCCACCAGTGCCCTGCAAGCTTTCTAGTACTGATTGTACACCTTCAGCAGCTCCAAGCCCCTTCCCTTTCCTACCCTAAGTATCCCTCCTCCCTACAAAGAATCTTAATAACTTTCTAAGAGATTAGTACTACCAAGTTCTGCCATGAATTTTATTCTTCCCTCCTTTTCCCTTTATTCCTCTCCTGACCCCTCCTGCTCATTTTCTACCTCTTGCTCATTCATCTCTCAGTATAAACGTGGCTCCCTATTTCCTTATACTCAAAGCTGCCTTTTGATTCCATTTGTCTGTTTCCTGATTGGAGTGATTCCAGTTACTATCTCAACTCCCCACTTCCCTTTACTTTCAAACACATTTAACAAGCAGCTCACAGCCCTTGTCTGGAGTTCTTCCCATCTGTCCTTGATCCCATGCAATCTGGCTTTTGGCAACCTTACTGAAACTGTACACACTTTCTCTAAGGCTTCCAGCTCCTCAGCAAATACCAGCACCTGCCTTCCATTCTCTTGTCTGCCTTTGACACTTGCTTGCTCTTTCTCACTTGACATATTGTTCTGTCTTGGTATTTGGGCACTGTCCTCTCTTGGTTCCTTCATACTTCTCTAGCTGTCTCTTCAGCAGGTTTTCTAGATCTTCCTCTCCTCCCAATTTTAGGAAGGTTCACACAACTCTGCAGCTCCCATTTAATCAAATCTGGCCCTAAAAGGCTAAAACAGAACTCTTGACCTCCTCTTCCCCTCTCTTCTTTTTCTCTACTACCATGGACCATCATCCTTTCTATAACATGGAGGTCAGTGGAAACACCTCACATTCAGGCCAGGTTCAAATGCTAATGTTCTTGCTTCTTCTGCCGCTTCTCAGATCTGTCCTTGATTCTGCCTAGCCACCACATGCATACCCATGTTACCACAGCATTATCTGCTCTGTTCTCTCTGATGTTAAGGTTTTTTTTAGCCCGTACAGATGCAGCTCTGTAGATCTTCTCTTAGTCAAACTGTTCCTCTTTCCCATAATATCAAGCAACACAGTTTGTTGTCAGTCACGTGGCTTTGTATAACTATTACCTTAGCTGCCTATGGCTTAGCTCCTCTGATCAGATGGATGGCAGCCTAAATACCTGTTGTCCACTTCATCAGTAATGCTTGTGTCACCTTATTCACTGACCATCTGCACAGAACATCCTCTGTGAACTCTTTTGCCTGGGTCCACTCTCTCCTCTGTCAGCTTCCTCTATGATGGGCACAAATAACTAATAGTAAGCGCTAGTGATCTTAAGATTCAGGACCCCATCAAACAATGAGCAAAGGCCCTGTTTAGTGTCGTATGTTATCTCTGTACCGCTCCACTCCCTTTTCCAGCTTTTTATTACATTATTGCTGAAACTGGTTTGTGACTTTCGTGAATTAAGAATCATATGCCCCTGCCCACATTGTGAAATGTGTTACGCATACCTGCGCACTGTCTTCATATTATACATTGTATCCTTTGTCTTTATCACGATCCTCATAAGTCTAAATGTCATCAAAGCCTCCTTGCCTGCAGACTTGGGCCAAATTGTTGCTGTGCTCCCGATTGTAAGGATACCTCTGTCTATAGAAGCTAGCTTTGATGTATATCAGCATTTCATTTTCCTAACTACTTGAAGCGAATTTCTTTTTACTGCTTGGAGAGTGACTGGCACTGAGTACAAGTTTTGTCTGGCTCATGGCTTGTTATCAGTTGGTAAAAGCTTTTCGTAAACTATCTAGCAGAAGCTTCCACCCCCACACATGCATGGATACTCCTTGGTTTTCCGTGGGAACCATTTTCACTCTTCATGTTAGACAATAAAATCACCAGTTCAAGTAGGGTAAACTTAGCAGCTGGGCCAGGAGGAGGAAATGAACCAGTTTTCCTGGAGTCTGAAATGGAGAAGCTATACTTTCCTTAGGGCCAATAACACCTTTCTTATTGAATCCACCAGCAAAGTTCTAGGATTCTTCAGGAAACATCCTGTCCAATAAACAAGGAGGAAATTAAGGTATCTGGGCCCAAAACCCTTCTGGGATTCTGTTCTGCTTTGTAGATTTAGGGGAGCAGGTGCTTTTGTAATGATGTAATGAGAACACAGACTCCTTAATAAAAAAATGTTCTGGGTGAAAAGGGTGTATGCAGACTTGATATGAATCTGCGGTGTGATGAAGCTGTACAACAGGTGAATGTAGTTTTGGGCTGCATCAATAGAAGCATTAGGTACAAGACACAGGAAGTGACAGTGCCTCTCTACTCTAACACTGGTTAGGCCTCATCTGGAGCATGGTGTGCAGTTCTGGGCTCCACATTTTAAAAAGTGTGTGGAGAACATAGAGAGAGTCTAGAGGCAGAGAACAATGATGATCAAGGGCTTGGCAGGCAAGTCATATGAGGAGAGGCTGAAGAAGCTAGGCATGTTCAGCTTATAGAAAAATTGCTTTAAGAGGTAACATAATAGAGGTCTTCAAATATTTGTAGGGCTGCCATAAAGAAAAGGAAAAGCACCTTTTCTCTTTTGCTGCAGAGAGGAGGATGTAAACCAATGGCTTGAAGTCGCAGCAAAGTCAATTTAGATTGAATATCTGAAAAAAACTTCTTCACTGCAAGAATAATGAGGCAGTGGAAAAGACTGCCTAGGGAAGTTGTGGATTCTTCATGACTGGAGGCGTTCAAGAGGAGGTTGGACAGCCACCAGGTTGGAGATGATCTAGGTGTAGCTATGCCTATCTTCTACCATGGGTATTTCCCATGCTTCTGGGCTTTGCTGGTTGCTCCTGCCCCTCTTCCCTTTTTTCTGCAATATTTGCCAGGGTGTTTTTAAGCCCCTGCAGACGCACTGGTGGCTGGCTACAGCTGAGGCTGTGGACTTCAGCTGGGGTGGACAAATTCTCCTGGTAGGAGCACAGCCAAAAGTTCCTGGCTAGAGGGTCTTGCCCTTCCACTCAGGGTCAAACTGATCACCACATTTGGGGCCAGGAAGGAATTTCACCTCATGGTCAGATTGGTATGGACTGTGGGGGGTTTTGCCTTTGTCTGTAGTGAAGGGTGTGGCCCTCTTCCCCAGACATTTTGGGCATATATTGACAAAATTTTATAGAAATAGGACATTTTTTCCTCTGCTTTAGTAGTGGCAGGTTAGGGTGTTAGGTCTATGTTGTGTCAGGGTTGAGGGTAGTCTTATGTAGAGTTTAGATTATGGTTGTAAGGGTGGTTTAGATAGCGATGATCCTGCCTCAAGCAGGGAGCTGGACTAGATGAGTTGGAGGTCATAATAGAGGTCTTCAAATATTTGTAGGGCTGCCATAAAGAAAAGGAAAAGCACCTTTTCTCTTTTGCTGCAGAGAGGAGGATGTAAACCAATGGCTTGAAGTCGCAGCAAAGTCAATTTAGATTGAATATCTGAAAAAAACTTCTTCACTGCAAGAATAATGAGGCAGTGGAAAAGACTGCCTAGGGAAGTTGTGGATTCTTCATGACTGGAGGCGTTCAAGAGGAGGTTGGACAGCCACCAGGTTGGAGATGATCTAGGTGTAGCTATGCCTATCTTCTACCATGGGTATTTCCCATGCTTCTGGGCTTTGCTGGTTGCTCCTGCCCCTCTTCCCTTTTTTCTGCAATATTTGCCAGGGTGTTTTTAAGCCCCTGCAGACGCACTGGTGGCTGGCTACAGCTGAGGCTGTGGACTTCAGCTGGGGTGGACAAATTCTCCTGGTAGGAGCACAGCCAAAAGTTCCTGGCTAGAGGGTCTTGCCCTTCCACTCAGGGTCAAACTGATCACCACATTTGGGGCCAGGAAGGAATTTCACCTCATGGTCAGATTGGTATGGACTGTGGGGGGTTTTGCCTTTGTCTGTAGTGAAGGGTGTGGCCCTCTTCCCCAGACATTTTGGGCATATATTGACAAAATTTTATAGAAATAGGACATTTTTTCCTCTGCTTTAGTAGTGGCAGGTTAGGGTGTTAGGTCTATGTTGTGTCAGGGTTGAGGGTAGTCTTATGTAGAGTTTAGATTATGGTTGTAAGGGTGGTTTAGATAGCGATGATCCTGCCTCAAGCAGGGAGCTGGACTAGATGAGTTGGAGGTCCCTTCCAGCCCTACTTCTCTATGACTGTATAGATTGTTTTTCTCCATCCATGCTCACAAGCCTGTGCTAAGCCTTGTCTACACCAGGATAATTAGTACCTGTCTTTCATGCATAGACAGTTGATAATTCTGCTTGCCAACTACAAACAGAGTGCAAGTACTTTTATAAAAGCCATAAAACCTGTTAATCACAAAGGTGGATTAAAGCTTGAATCCTAGGCACACCAGCTCAACTACATTATCACAGGGTATGGAAGTAGTGGCTCTAGCTATCCTAATGTACATGCTTCCTGGGAGCATATAGGAGAGATGAGGACAAGCCACCAGCTGCAAATCCTCCAAGATGTTCCTTTCCCAGGGCTTCCTGGTTCATTCCGTCTTTGGTGGTTCTCAGACAAAATGCCTCTAAGCAAGTGATTGTTTTCATTCACTGACTCAGTCAGTAATCTGGAGGTAGAAATTCTGAATTTTCAATAACAAATGACTAGAACTGGGTCTAGTTTTTATTTCTTGATAATGAACATGGAAACAGTAGCAAGGATTAAGTCAGAAATAGGCATAGCCTCTGTGTAACCCACTGCATTAATACCTAACATGGATACAGAAATTACAGTTATGTTAACATCATCCATTCTCAGTTAATGAACAAAAGTAAAGTAAGGTCAGCATGAATCTAATAATTATGCTACAAAACAACCAGCCAAATGTCCTTCAAAGCAAGGGAATGCCATAAGAAATGGCTAGAGTGACAAATTTCCCTTCAGGCAGTTATAGCATACAGACTCCATATGGGCCCTATATAATGCTCTTTCATTTCTATATGCAGTTCTGCCATTTCACCCTTTCCCATGAGGTTTTCACCGTGGAATAATAGCACTGGTTGCTAGAGCCAACAGCTACAGTGCCAAGGGACAAATCCTCATATACTGTACATGTGCTTGTCAATGTGTGCTGTTCAGCTGGTGTCCCCACCCTCCCCAAAGTTTGAAATGCTCTGGAGTTGTACCGCTTTCAAAAGTCTCTCTGTTTCATAATTATCACTCTTGAATGTTGTAATTCAAGATAAAGATCATCGCTTGTGTGTGCAGAGAACCCTTTAGATGCACCCAGCCCATGTTTTAGTCTTTGTAAGCGTACCTTCCTCTTCTCCAAATTATTACTAATATATGTCTTGAACCTACTGCCTCTGAACAGAAGTACCAAAGAGATGTTTACAAAAGACTAACTGTTAGACTCATCACCTTGCATTTGTTATTGCCCTGCCTCTTGAACTGAATAACTTACGTGAAATATCTCAGCTAGAAGACTTTTATAATAATAAAGAGAGAGACACTCTCAAAAATAAAAAGCCCCAGGCCTCTCAACTCCAGACCAGAGGATATTAATGTGAACAAAGGGTAATCTTCATACTTCTTCCTGTTAGGAATCCTCCCAGGATGCCATCTGCCATGCTGTATTCACTGCAGAAACAAGAGGAGACACCAGCTTATGTACTGCCGCTTCTATTTATAAGACAACACTGCCTAAACCAGGAAGTATATTCGACTGATAACTACTTCCATTGCATTTTCATTAACCATGCTAAAGTAAACTTATGATTGAACTATGCTGGATTCTAGTCATCTGGGCCAAATTTTGATCTTCACAGAAATGAAGCAATTTGAGTTAAAAAGGCACTGGGTATCTGAGTTTTTTTCCCCTTCTTTTTGCCCAGTTTGAAAGAAAGTTTAATGGTGTGTGAAAGTAGTACAGTGTTCCCCCCATTCCTCTAAGCCCCAGAAGAAACATACCGGTGTGCTTGTCCTGCTGACTGGCCCCTCTTCAGTTCGATGCTTTCCTGTGTGAGGGAGCTCTAAACTGTCCCTGTAGTCTCGGCCCTTGATGTTCTGCATGTCCAGTACTGCTCGGCTCTTCGTGGGAAGAGGAGGTTTGTTGACTTGTCCCTGATTGCTTGGCCCTATTTCAGACCTTGATGGCTTGACTGGTTTCTTAAGTGGTGCTGGGTTTTCTAAAGATACAGCAGACTTTTGCTTGCCCTGAACCTTTTCATTCATAGTCTTTTCCTCAGACTGACCAGAACAGGTGTAGGAGCGGAATCTCGACGTGGGAACCAAGAAAGGTGGGGACTGCTGCTTGCTGGAAGACTTGCTGCTCTCAGTCTCTTGTGACTTTGTGAGAAGGAAGCTCGGATCTGAGGTGGCAGCGTGCTCCTTCCTCGAGGGCTCCTTCTTTGACATCACCTTCCCCTTGCAGCTCATGGAGCCATAGAGTGGGTTGTCAAACATCTCTGGCTTCTGCTGCCCTTCCTCTTGAAGCAAAGATTCTGCCATGATTTTCCCCACTTCAGCTGGCCTACAGCCATCAAGGCAACATGGAAAGGAGAGGTGTTAGTAAGAGGTGACATTGACTGACTTTAGAAAGTGAGATAAAATGAGCATGAGGGAGTCAAACTGTGACTATGCAGAGATAGAAGAATAACCATTAAACTAATGGGGAGGAAACAGAATTGCGTAGGGTTCTACTTCTGTCTAATCTTTATTGGCCTGAGAGCATAAAAACATGGTACTGTGCAAACTCTCTGTTGACAAAGCAGGCTTCTCTTATAACAGAGAGGAGCCGCTGAGCAAACTGTTCAGAGTTCTGCAGTGGTTTTGTGAAACACAAATCTGAGAATGTTAACTGGTTTCTTCATTTCTGGCTGAGAGGACTGGACTGGATCTCCAAACCATCAGCATTCAAAACTCTCAGCACAGTACACCAACATCACAACCAGACCAATCTCCTCTGGTTACCATAGCTCAGGAGTAGCAGTAAAACTCCTTGGATTAATCCAATAGCAGAGTGCTTGGCTAATAACCATGTAATGTAGAGCAAGAAAAAAGCTTTGTGCTCACAGTGCTTTGCAAACTGTTGGATTAAAAATAATGGAAACCTCATGGCCAAATGAGAGAACTGCTGTAGAATGGGACTCCGTTTGGGTTTTCTGGGTCCTTATGTGAATGAACCTAAACTGTTGAAGCTTTTACACAGCAGTCAACCAAGCACTTGAATGATCACAGACCAGCTATAATGTAATTGAACATTAATCTCCCATTCATCTAAATGGGAGATGAATGGCAAACATTGAAGGGATCTTTTGAATAAACCTCCCAGGGTTTGAATGGGAATTCAGCATAGTGGGAACAGGGCACTGGAGACAGCAGAAACAAGAACTAGCAGGACACGTGCTAAGAGGAGGCACTGCTGGAAGAGTGGCTCAAGCTTGCTCTTATTTTCATAGTGGCAAACATGTTTACCAGGAAATGATATCATGATAATGACACACACAGCAAGTAACCATCACAATGATCGAAAAAATAGAATGAAGACAGAAAGTGCATACCAGAACCAGTGTGGAGTAACCTAATCAGTTCATGGAAGGGTCTGGTACATAAGGGATATACATGACAGTCAGATTTGAATTCTACAACAAAACTTGGTGCCCCTGGGGTACAGGAGTGCTCAGTTCTGTAATGAGCTGAAATGTCAGGAGTGTTGCAAGCAGAAGTGTAGTTAAAATCATGGCAGGCAAACGTGCAAAGGAGCTTTCATTCCTGCCAGAGGGAAGAACTGCAAGAGGCAGTTGTACAGGCCTCTTTCCTGTCTCCCAACATCAGAGTTGGGAAGGAGTTAATCTTATGCACATGCACACACTCAGCTTTCACTTTTTGCTTTGGTATAGGATGGAGGAGTTGCCACACTCAGTTGCCAGCACTGAGGAGTTCCTGAGTGGGGGAGGTCACCACTGGTGACCCTCACTCTCCTCCTGTTTCTAAAGGCAAAGGGCAAATATGAACTAATTCAACCCCACAGCAGAAATAACAAAAAGGTGACTATATTGGAGTGGGAATGTGGGGGTGGACACCAGAACAGCACCAATGCCAGAGGCAAAGACTCACAGATGCTCTTGACTCCTGGAAGCAGAACTCCGGCTTGTTGTAGACAGAACGGGTGCTTTTGGAGAGAGGGGTGACTGGGAGGGAGGTGTAGAAGAGGACTCCTTTTGTCCCACTGCAGAGGCATTCTCTTTGGGCTGCTGCTCATAGTTCCACAGGGCAGGAGGCTGGTCTGATGAAGAAGTCTGCTTAAGCTGGCTGGGTGCAGACTGTTGCTGGGAGAAGGACACCATCCCCATATAGTTGGGATTATTGATGTCTGTCAGGGTGGAACTGCAGGAAAGAAAGGGTGCTGAGAGAATAATGTATGCAGAAATAACACACCACCCCACTTGCCTCTCCCCCACCATAAGCTCCCATGACCAGACAGCTACTAAGGAAAAGAGTCTAACACACAAAGGCTGGTTTTGTTCAACCACAGCAGGCCCCTTTTTCATTTTGAGGAGAAAATAAATAGAGGGTCGTGCTGGCTGTTCCACTATGGAGAGGGGTGCTACATCAGGGCCATCCTGTACCTCACCAGTAGTTTTCTGTGGTAGTAGCAGGCACCTCACCTCCTTTAGGCTGCAGCAACTTAGAGCCCAGAAACCCTTGCAAAGGCTTTTGGCTCCTATCACACAGCTGGTGGCTCCAGCAGCATTAATAGGCAAATAACAGCAGTGTATGGGCTAGTAACATGCTGCTGTAATCAGGGCACCAAAATCAGGTCTCTAGGGCAAGTCTCCATGGACTGGGAGGTGAAAACTGCAGGCTGCCTTGATAAAAAAATGGCCCTATAAAATATAGAACCTGGAGCAACAAGCTGTCCTTCCTCTGGACAAATGGGAGGACCCTGTGGGTCTCTGGGATGGGAAATGCAGGCAGTCAAACCTCAGCTTGCCTCCCCATCTGGTGGAGGTAAAGTAGCAGTTACCGTAACATGTCTTCCTTGCTCTGTGTATCTGGCAAAGTGGAAGCACTTCCCCAAAAGCGAGCAACAGCTGCTGCTTCTTTGGCCATCAAGTGAGTAGATTTGGATTTTCTGTTGAGAGGAAAAAGAGCCCTTTTTAGAAGAGGGGCATATGCGAATGCCAGGAGCATGTCTCCATCAGTGCACTCATTTGCTGAAACATGTGACAGTTGATCCTGCCTCAGCACAGAGGCACACTGCCATTCTGTTCCTTTATTTGGGGAGACAGTGACCACACCACTATGGCGGTTACTGGCAAAATCAGGCCAGCCAATAACTGAAATGTGTGCAAAGAATCAGCTTTTCAGTCCTTACCACAGGTACTTGAATTGTGCCTACAACTGTCAGAAAGATCCATACCCATGCTCAGCATCAGACTGCATCTGTGAGGTCTCACTCACTGGTCCTTTACCTGTTAGTTTGGTCCCAGTCTTTGGTGGGATCCAGGCTGCCGGCACCCTTTGGCTTCTGCCCGATGGTCTCATCACGTTCAATCTTCACAAAGTCTGGAGGAAAAGACAATGTATGAAAGTGCACTTATGTGCGTCATGGCTTTAGCTTACATCACACTGGGGGGCTTGCGCTTCTCTGTTAATGCCAATAGCTCTCTGCATGCATCTGCCTATCAAAATACCAATGCACTGATATGGCAAGGGTATTTTGTGCCTGAAAGCTTGTCTAACATCTCTCCCAGCTACAAAGCTGGTCCAGCAAAAGATACCACTAAACAAATCTCTCTTCTTACTTTTTCCCTGGACCATCATGGTTACAACGACAGCTAATAGCCCATCCAGGTATGATGGTTAGGACACACCCTTCTAAGTGTTAACAGTGTAGCTGCGATTGTTCTGATTGTTATGCCATTGGTGCACATCATGCTTCCTAGACAAAGGAAAGACAAAGGCCCTGATCCTGAACACACTGCATAATCTTGTTAACAGTAATAATTCCAGAGGACTTAAGAAGATTCCTTACATACACATTTCGGCACAAAGCTAATGTTGGCAGAGAAGGCTTATGTTAACATTGGTCACTAAAGACTTGACAACAAGAAAAATGATGCTAGAGAGTTGCTAGAGGGCCTGACTTACAGATCCTATCTAGAGGGAGTGCTCAAAATGTGAAACAGAAGCAGGAATATTACAGTATGGTGAAGGCTCAGCAGCATCTATTTTCTATTGCCAGGGACATGTGAAAAACTTACTAGGTGGTAAGCTTGGGTGTTCACTTACAGCATGTGACCTGCTCTACCATAAGTCCCCATGTGCATGCTCCCCACCCCCCCATAAATGTAGGTCCCCTGCTTTCCCTGTAGAATAACCTACTTCATGTTTAATGCAGCATAAAGTTGTGCATTCTGGGGTATGGTAACAGAGCAGTTAAAGTCTTGCTAGAGGTATACATTTGAACCCTGCTCTTGGCTCATGCCAAAGGCTGCCCCCAGTTAACCCAGCTATAAGCTGGCACCTGATCATTCAGGCTCAGGATTCAGAGATGGCCAAATGTGATGCTAGTAACATCACTTCTGAGTGTGCCTCTGGCTACAGAAATCGGCATGCCTCAGCCACACTACCCTGATGGACTGTTTGGGACAGGCAGGCCTTTGGTTTTTAAAGAACGTACTCATGGGCAATGATTATAGTGTAGCACACGTGCTGTAAGTTCATGCTGTAGTTCACCTTCTACTAGCTTGTTCATGACCCTAAATGGACTGGCCTGCACACTCTGCTATCAAATAACATAAAGGGTTGAGGTGCATCATAATAAATGTTCCCAGCGATGCTG